GGCCAGTCAGGGCTTATAATAATGGTCAGCTGGCCAGTCAGGGCTTATATTAATGGTCAGCTGGCCAGTCAGGGCTTATATTAATGGTCAGCTGGACAGTCACTGGTCATGATGACTGGCCAAATTAGTTTAATCATTTTTAGCTCACATTTACTGATCAAACTGACTGGTTAGGCAAAGATTTTACCAGACAAGTTGCAATTCGGGTAAGACATTGTCCAATGACCTGCTGTTACTTTAAGCCCTGTGGGTCAATCCCAAGATATTATTCATCTGATAACAATTTAAAAGTTACAAGTGACAAGTCAAGAAGGAAACTTACTAACATTAAGTTTTATATAGGAAAACATTATGACCACAGTAAGTGGAATCGATCTATAGCATGCATCATTTAGATAATTCTCAAAATTGCAAAAACACCAAACATTATGGAGTAATTATGGCTAGTTCTGGGCACAAGCAGCCCAAGCATAGAGTGCTCTAGAATCTTGGACAAAAATATTGAAATATAGTTCTAATGGATTTTTTCAATGTAAAACAGGGAGGGAATACAGTCCACAAAACAATATGAGACATTGTACTTTTTCATGATTGGATGAAAATTTCTCAACTATTTTTGTCCAAGATTATAGGTGTCATAAGGCAAGGTACATTCTTCAGTGGGGACTTCAGAGAGAGGGTCATCAGCAATTATTTAAAGTTTTTGAAGGATCAAACCTTTTTCTTTTGATGAAATGCTACCGAAAACTCTGGAAATTGCATTTCTGAGGGTCCCAAAATCAACATTTTGTGGGGGTGCATTCAGTCTAGCTACATCTGTGTCTAATGTTGACTTCATAGGAGGGACATGAATTTCTCACTGAGTGAAAGGGAAAGCGCTACAACTATTTTTCAAAGTTTGAATATCCTGCAGTCCTGCCCCTGATAAAAAATGTACCTTAAACGTTTATAACTTAATTTTAAAATGGAAGCTGAAATACAATATATGAACAAAAATGAATTTTATAAAAAGTTTTCAAACATTTAGTTTGTAGAAGTACATAAACTACCTTTGAAAAAATATCACTCTAGGATCCTCACGAGTACCCTATATTTCATATTCCAGCTGCGTTACCAGCGTGGTGGGTCCTTGTGGTGTAGTGGTTAACACATCGGACTGGAATACCAAAGACGTGGGTTCGATTCCCGCCAAGGGCATTTGATATTTTTCTCTTATTCTCTCTATTTCATTACACACACTGAACGCATAATTTATTACTACTATACCTTTGAAACCATTGCTTTTGACTCTTGTCTTGTTCTATTCAAAACCTCAGCCATTTTTTCATTAGGTGCTGGAATTGAAATACATTTTTTGCACAAACAAACATGTTGACTATTTTGAACTGCTGAGCAAGCCATACGCAACACATAGTTAACTATGATCAGGTCCATGATCAAATTTGGCAGCTACTCACAATTATCGTGCCAAGAATCATATACTATGCAAGAATAGATCACCTACAGCTAGCTTTTGCTTTTTTTCTAAAAAGTTTCTACCACTTGCAAGGAAAGATTATTGATACAAAATATGCTGGTATTTTAATCTTATGATTGAATTGATTTTTTTGCTCCAAATGGCATGAAAGTTTGACATTGCATGGGGTAAAAATACTAATGGAGCACAGAAATGCCTGTAGCTTTTATACTTTTAAAGAAAGTAAAGTAAGGGACTAGATACCCGTACCAGTATTTTTGAAGCGTAAATAACTCCGAGAAGCCTTTTAAAAGGCAAATAGAAAATTCCCTGGTTTCGCCGGTTCAAAGACTATATTAATTTCATTCGCATTGAGTTATTTTTTTCACGCCTAGTGATTATTATACTGACCTATATTGTTGTATGAAGAAGAAAATATAAAGCAGGGTTATCAAGGTCACCAGAACACTTCTCATGTTTTTCATCTCTAACTTCTAAAATTACCTGATAAGTAAGCATATTCCGCTTAAACATACGTAATCCTACGCAAATTATGCGTCTTTGACAGGCTTTCCAGCAGAAAATGCGTAAGTGGTATTTTTTAACGCAGAATGTGCTTATCGTCTGGTACTTTAAGCAGAACATGCATATATTGCTGCTAGCTCCGGATTTGTTTTGATCCTCCACATTTTCACTGACAGTTGTTATATACATCAAAATATACATTAATTATTTATTTATATTTAAATACATACGTCTGTATTACTATTTACTGGATCTAAATCCTATGTATGCACACAAAAACACACACACATTAAAGAAAAGAAAAAGATATTTATCAAACAGGAGAATAAGTAGAAAGAAAAGAGGCCTTGAGTTTCTTAGAGAAAGTTCTTAAGCTCAGCTGTTTTAATGTATCATCAATTGAGTTTCAAATAACTGCACCTTTGTATCTTAAGTTAAATTTACCATGATAGTTAGTATTAATTTTAGGAAGACAATATGATAATTTAGATGCAAGTCTGGTGTTATAATGGAATTCATTTGCTGGAGAGAAGAAGTCAAATACATTTGGAAGTAATTTAGAATGAAAATAATAAAGAAACTTAGCATTATACAGTATAAGTAGATAAGATTATGAAGATTCAGAATTTGGAGCTTAAAAAATTGCCTTTTTTAATTAAAAGAGGTCTAATAGTAGAAGCATAAGTATTCCCTGAAGTCATAGTGCTATATTGTTAAATAAAAGAGTAATAGAGCTGCAACAAAACTTTAATGTCAGTGAAATATCTAACGTGAGATAAAAATTCAAATTCCTCTGGCAATTTTTTTAGAAATTTCATAAATATGACTTTTTCAGTTTAAATTATGATTTAAAATGACACCATGATATTTAGTTTCTTTCTTCTGTTCCAGAATAATAGCTTTATATATTTAGGTACAGTTTTAGAAGTCTGTATAACAGTCATAAATTCATAATTAAGAGAGTCTATCTACCAGTTTTTCTAAATGTCCAAATATATTCCTGAAGTGATTTCCATGCTGATTTTTGCTGCACATACGTACACAATGTCATCAAACTAAGTGTTTTTGTATGATATGTTTGGGCAACTAATAATTTTGAGTTTGAAAATTGCAGATTGTGACCAGATTTTTATGAGGCATCAATAAATCAGAAGTATGGGTTTTTGGTTTGTATTTGTTTTTACTCGTATAAAAATATGATTATGGACTCCCTGTGCGAAAAGAACAAGAAAATCTTAATACATCAAGCCTAATACTATGAAAACCTCTCTGGCTACCGGTCTAAATGTCTATTTTAAAATACTTCTATTAAAACCCTTCATGGACAAGCACCATTATGGCACTTGTTCATTTTTATGAACAACTACCACTTCATGACTTTTGACCAGTTTTCGGTTTCAAGGAGGTTGGAGCTATTGCAGTCTTTTCTTAAATCAGCTATATAGATTGTTGTTTGTTTTTCTTTGACCACTAAAAACAGGATGATAAAAATCATGACACAACTTTAATTTAGCATTCTGTCTTCAACTTTTTGAACTTACTGCCCAAGGCAGTGATGTAGAAACCTCATATATGGTCATGCCAATTGGATCAAGGACTTATGAATTACTCATGTGTTTTTGCAGCTCCAATCAAAAGAGTTTCTCAAAGATGTCACAGGATTCTGACTCCAAACTTCAACCAATTGACTGCAAAGTTATCAGTATTGACTTACTGTACCTGTTCTTGAAGACCTTCAAATCATAGTCAATAGCGATAGCTTTGCAGGGGATCGCTCAAAATCCAGAGTCAGAATCTGGACATTTTAAAGAAAATATATCCTGAGTGAGAAAGTCACAGACAAGAAGCAGAGATGTTTGCATGTGCATGTGTTCTTAAGTGATCATTCATGTACTGCTGTCATAAAAACCCTTTTGATTGACATACAAAGCTTAATTTTTCATTTATGATAAAGATCTAGTTGGTCCATTTGACTGGGAATCGCAGTAACCGGAATCCACCCCACCATTGATGGTTATTTTAGCGGTGCTAACAGTTGAGTGATTTTGGTATTAAAGTTGTACATGTGCATGGGTGAACTTCTGAAGAGGAAAAAACAGGAAAGCCTCGTATTAGCTCTTTTGCTCGTTCTTTTTTGTTGTCATACTGACTCCTGCAAAATTTAGTGCTTGATGTACTATAACCACTATACGACCAAACTGTTCAGCCACCCCTTTTCCGTCACCTGTAACCCATTTTCTTACCTCTGCCGTTTCTTTTAGTAAGAGGGTCTTTAGTCTCCACATACCCTCCACTTGGACTGCATTTATCTTCCCACTCATCGCGAAGTCTAAGATCGGAGATTTGTTCTTCAGTCAATCCCTGCATGTTTGGGGGAAGAGTAATACCATGCTTGGCAAGCTCTTCCATTTCTGTAGACATTCAGAATGGAAAGTAAGCAAGATAAACATGGAAGAATAACATCTTTTTCACCATAATTTTTCACTAACCATAATTAAGTCGTTCTATTTTCAATCTTTCGTTGTGAATTCGAACTAATTGTGGAATCAATTCGTTTAATTCGACTGCACATGTAGTCTCGTACAAAAACTGACTTTCTTCTCCTCGTTTAATGTGTAGTTTAACCATATTTTATAAAATAAAAATATATTTTCGTGTTTTTCTTCGTTAAACACCAGTATCAAAATGGCGGGAGCGTTTGGTAGTCACTATAGTGACCATCAAAACCTGTCTCTCATTGGACAAAAATTCCGAATTTTATCATGCACTGCGAGACCAGTGAGAAGTCGGGAGAAGTCGGAAGATTAAATTGGAGGAAGAAGAATTACCGAAAAAATACTGTAAAATCCTTTCTAACAACAAAAAATCTTGAACTAAAGAAAAGACTGAATTTTAAGGCTTTTTATCACACATATATATATCAATTTCACATATCTATTACATTCTCTTTATGAAGAGTATTTCGTAACGGTTCGGTAATACTACGACAAAATATCGATCGCATTGTACTTACCGGTATATCCGACACGGGTGAAAAACGCACTGCGCATGCGTTGGGAGAAAAAACAAAATGGCGTACAATAACAATCAATCACATCTAAAGGTAGGTTTTATTTTAACCGACAGGGCTATTTTTTTATATTCCTTTTGGAATTTTACAGATATTTTTGGATTTCTTTACACAGAATCCGACCATGTGATTATCTGCAAATTAGCCATGCTGGATGTCGACGTCGGGCCGCGAGTGGCGGCATTTTCAAAGATTATTTTTGCTTTGTATAAACAAAAGTTTTTTTGTATAAATCAGCAGTGTATCACAATCAAAATTATCTTGCTATTGCGAAAAGGACAACCTTAAGTTTTCAGTATTTTTCTTAAGTTTCGCGATTTTGTAAAACAATCAAAACACCGGCATCAAAAACATAAGTTGCCCTTAGTTACGCTACGCCATCTCCGAGCATGCGCAGTGCGTTTTTCACCAGTGTCGGTATATCCAGGTTCTGATGCTCTTCATCTTCAAACCAGATGACGGTGCACTTTCAAGCTTGATTCAGTTTGGTGTCTCTTCCTTAAGATGTCAGGCGTATGTGGATTTTCTGTAGAGCATTCTTGGGGAGTGGGATCAGTAAGACAATGTGCAGGATTCCCTGGTAATATTCTCTTTGATGATCAAGTAGAAAAGATATATTGTGTTCCACTAGGACCCCAAATAGTCTGCTGGGATATTGAGAAGAAAGAAAGAAAGATATGTTTTCAAGGTCACAGTGACTTAATCATTTGTCTTCAGTATAACCACAGCTATGGAGTAGTACTAACAATATCATACAGTGGTGAAATCAAACTTTGGAATGAGGATTTTAAACTTTTGTTATCAGAGAAAACAGGCTTTGGGAATGCTCATTATGGTGTTTGGTCTAATGATGGGCAAAGATTCCTTATCTGTGGAGGTCCTTGGAAATTTTCATTACTTACAGTTTATGAACTATCCAAAGCCAGTGATGGCCGATTCAATTTTTCTACAGTATGGCAAAATGTGGGGGTAGCAGCAGCAACCCTGGATGGCTCCACAAATAGCATATCAGATGTTGATAATAAGGAAGATATAAGAGAACAAGAGAATAATGCAAGTATAACATACATCAAACAAAATGATAACTATATCATTTCACAGTTTAGCTCTAAGGATACTGTTCTAGCTATCTTTGAAAGATACCATGGTAATGCTAGTGAAGTTCATTTGTTTGATGCCAATGGGGCAATGATACATTCTAATATTCTTGATCCCTTGGACAACCCAAAAGCAGCCATTATGTGCACTACTCCTTGTCATAATGGTGCCTTTGCAGTAGGCTTCCAGGGAGGCGTATTCGAAGTATTGAATGAAGAAGACCTCACTATGAAGTCAGTCTTTCAGGCTACAGGATCACCTCAGGTAGCACTGTGGGACAAAGACTATATCCTTGCAGTTTCATATCTATCTGGAGTTCTTTCTTGGTGGACAACAGAAGGCGTCTGTGTTCATGAACTAAAAGGCGGACCTAAAGATTCTAATATACATGTCAACTGGGTATCCACTAGTTCCCATAATGCATTATGGATAGCAGGTATAATGGCCTTGAACTATGTTGAGTTGATGTACACCAATGAGGGAGATTTTTTCCCCTCAAGTATAAGACAGAAATATTCGTTAAGATATCATGAAGTGACTGGCTGTGGCTTTGATCTGAGCAACAGTAATCTAACTGCTTCAGGCGACTTTGTTGGTAATGTTTTTGTTTGGGAAAAAGGTAAAAATGAGCCGCTCTATAGAACAAAACAGGAAACAGCCATCAGGAGTCTCGTATGGAAAAATGATAAGCTCTTTATTGGTTGTCTGGATGGTCTCATAATACAATGGACTCCGAGTAATGCTGAATTTCCTGTTGTATGCTTGGCTTGTACAAGTGGAGTCCTGTCTCTTCGTTGGTCACACAATAAACTTGCTATAGGTCTAGAGAATGGTGACCTTCTCCTGTACACCTTCACAGATGAAGAATATTCAGATCCAGTCAGGATAATCAATCAAAAAGCTCATTCACAAACAAAAGATGGTGCTTTGTTGCCTGCTGAAATCTGGAGTGTTTGCTGGAGTCCTTGTGGCAAAATGATTGCCACTGCATCTGAAGATCAAACTACATGTATTTGGAATGCATCCAATGGTAAGTAAGCATATTTTATATCAAATTTCTCTTTTTATAATTTCAAGTAAATTGCTTACATAGATTTCCATAGAGATTGCATATTAATACCCCATACGTACCTTTGAAATACAGCCCAACACAATGCAGGAAAGCCATTTGAATTTTTGTATAATTTGCAGTGTTCCACTCATAAACTGTTATTCTATATTTGCATCTATACTTGGTTCTTATTCACTGCTTTTAATTCACCCATTTATTTATTTCCATTCATCTTGTCATTTATTCATGCATGCATTTATTATTATTTTATTCATTCATTTATTCACTCCGACAAATAATGTGATTAAAGTTTTTTACTTTCCCCACATCAATACTTACTGATGTATTCCTATGACTATAGTATATTGCTTCTGTCCTATAAGCAATAAATAGAGGATATTACATGGGCACGTGGAGATACGAAATTTATCTTTATCACACGTGAAAATAACACCATTGCGATGGCTATTCAAAAATACATGGAAAGAATTGCCTTCAAAAGCCAAAACATACTTCATTGATAATTATATGATAAACAGAATATTAAATGGGCGCTTGGATATACGCAATTTATTATATAATAATTGTTGATATTTCTTGCAGGAAACAAATTACGCACTCTGCATGGACACACTACTGCCGTAACATCAGTAGATTGGAAAACAATGCGTGACAACAGCAAGAACATACTTGCAACATGTGGTGATGACAGAACGGTACAAATCATGGATGGGATCTCATTTGACATAATCCATACTCTCAAACTACATAACATTGAGGGTTGGTTTACACTAACCTATTTGAGCCTCAACCCTCATGATCAAAAGTGTCTTTGTTCTACACAGAATGGTCACCTTGCATTGTGGGATTGTTCTACAGGAAACTTGCTTGCATGTCATAAAATGCACTGCGGGTCAATAGAAGGGCTTGCGTGGAGTCAAGACTTCAGTGAATTTGGAACAGTTAGTTCTGATTGTGTGGTTAACATATTCCATATAAAAGACCATTGAAAGAGAAGCTTATTTATCAAGCATGCACCCCCTAACTTGACTTACTGTCATAGTGATTGCAGTTTTTTATACCAAACATGCATTTACATGATTTTCATGCAATATAAATATAATTATAATATTAATACCACTCTTTTCAACGCTACTAACTGGGGAAAACAAACAATGCAGTTTCAAGCCATGAAAGAATGGAACAATCTGAGTGACACTCTTAAACAGTGTTCTAATATCAACCATTTTAAATCAATAATGTTGACTTTTCAGCAACGAGCTGGTTTCGATATTCAACCTCCTAATTCTCTTTTTGCATATTATTGTAAAATATCTTATTTATCAGGACCTTCTTTAAAATGAAGAAGCTTCCTGTTAAAATATGAACGTAAATATTCGCTGATGAAGGCCACAGTGGCAACAGGGATATAGGGCAATACACTGCTGCCAATTAAAGATTATAAAGGTACTCACCAATTTATTTGAATTTGTACTATAAATTATAATCTTTAATCTTAATATCATATTTGATATCTTGCATCTCATTAGGTATCTGTATAAATGTATACTACAACCTTTCTGCAATCAAGTGTATATATATACACTCGATTGTAGAAACATTGTAGTGTACATTTATTCAAATATCTAATCTATTCAGTATATTTAATCAGTGATATGCAAAACAGAAAAATTGCTTTATTTATTGTTTGTTTCATTCAATGACTGTCAAAATATTTTTTCTTGTCTATTAGATCATACATATTATAAATCAGTTTGTTTTAAGCGTTAAAAATGGTTATTTTGCATTATGCATCTCATTAGATATTTTTATAAATGTATACTACAACATTTCTGCAAGCATATACCAACTTGTGTACTTCCTAAGAACGCGCACGCTCATTGGTTAATTGGAGGTAAATATTGTACCATACCAATCTCGGAATATTGAGTCAGCAACAAAATGGCATCTGCTGGTAATCGTTTTGCTCCAATTTCCGATGAGGAAATTGAAAAAATGAAAGTAAATGCCATTCCTATCAATACTAAAAAGGCAACAAAGTATGGCCTAAAAATGTTGCTAAACGTTTTGTCATGCAAACTAAAAGATGTAAAAATGCTTCTCAAAGAACAGCCACCAAATGTTTTAGTTGAATTAGCGGCTTGCAAGGTTGTCACAACAAAGATAAAAGAAAAATTTCCTGTTATCATCAATATTTGTCACATCATTTTCTGTTGAGTGACAAATATTTTATGACTTTGAAAAGTGGCTGCTAAATAGAGGGTAGCCACTTAATAGAGGTACCACTGTATCATTATCATCATCATCATCATCATTATATGAGGAGGGTCTGGGAACGCAAACGCAATGGCAAACGCGCCAAAAACAGTCTAAAATATGCTTTATGCTAAAAAAATCGTAAAATTTTAAATTTAAAAAATTGAATTTACCTTGATCTCATGTAGTTAAAAAAGAATGGTTTTTAAATTTTTTTCCCAGCACAGATACCGTATTTACTCGTTTAGATGCCTCGGCGTTTATTTAATTTCTCACGGTTCAGCTGCAGTGTTTATTTAAAAATTACTTTATTCAATAAGAATTCTTGAAAGAGAACTTAACGCAAGAGAAAAATAGTACAGTCACTTTGAACTTTAAAATGTTCTAAAAGAAAATAAGTTTCCGTTGCTGGTTTAAACTTGAAATATACTTTATCTTTATCATTTATCATAGATTATTTCCTCAAATAAACACCGCACTGCAGATCCGGCGTCTATTCGGGTGGCTGCATCTATCAATATTTTTAATCCCAGGTGCAGCGTTTATTTGAGGGCGGCGTCTGAGGGCAGTGTCTAAATGAGTAAATACTGTATATTTCTTGGGCTGTCTGTGTGCTGTAGGGGTTTTATGTAGCATGTGCAGCTGTCAATCAACGCCACAAATGATGCTGCTAACTGATTTCAGTGCACAGGGGTGGATCCAGGGGCTTTAGAAGGAGAGCGATTGAACTCTATTTTATGCAAATACTGTGCAGAAAATTTCTATTGTTTATGGCTGCCTCCTCACGTGAGTGAAAACGCTCTATTACAAAGGTTTTACCAGGTGACTTATACCAATGATATACAGGGAATTTGAGAAGCAGGGGGGAGGAGGTGACTTGTCAACTATATTACCACCCCTGGATCAGCTCCTGGTGGACAGGGCAGAAAACGGTTTTTGGCCTTTCACTGTAAAGACAGCTTTATTTATTTAAGCTCAATATTTTGTAAACTCATTCTTTTGGGGCCAAAGAGCAAAATGCCAAATGCGACCAGAATTGATTGAATTTGAGTTATAAAGCTGTGTACTTTGAGAGGTGATATTTTGATCAGCAGAAAAACTGACATTTTCGTAAATACTAATATTAAGTAGCCTTTCCTCTAATCCGACAAAATTTCATCACAAGTTTCGAGTATGAAACGCTCAAGACTTTTGAGTATTAGACTCAGTTAAATAAAAAAATTGTGAAAGTAGTGGGCTTATCATTTTTTGCCATCCTCCTGGGCCTGGTTGTATGAAGCCTGGATAGTGCTATCCAACAGATAAATCTTATCCAGTGGATAAATTCATTGGATAACAGCATCGACTTATCCACTGGATAAGGGTTTATCCGCCAGATAGCGCTATCCAGGCTTCGTACAACCGGGCCCTGGTGCAACATGGAAAAGTATGACCTGCGATGGTTTAYAGGTTAAAATGTTCAAACTTTAATGATGTCAAACACAGCATCATTCCAGTTCAATTAGAATTTTACTTGGCCTGTGAAAAAATAGTAAACAATTATACATAGTTTTAGTGTTTAACTTTTAACTGTTTAGTACAACTTTGTTTGTCGGGTCAAATACAATCACTCTACCAGTGAATCATGTAAGATGATTATTTATGAATATTTTGCAATCATTAAAATCTTTTGATGCTTGTTATATCTGTTCACCTGTTGTCATTTTGAGCTACTTTATTTGTATGGTTAGCAATGATCAACATTGCATATTCCACACTTAGTTGTAACTACCTGTCATGACACCAGTATTATATAATTATAACAGTAGCACTATAAAGAATATTTCAAATTATATTTAAAATGCTTATGCATCTTTCTTTTTCCCCCTACTACAAGCTAAAAAAAACATGCTGGGATTTTATTCCATGGTAAACAAAAACTGCCATTTTTACAAAATTATTTCATGAAAAACAAGACTGGCAGTTATTTTGTTCTAATAAACTAACCATTTTCAAATAAACTAAAAGATACTCTTGACATTATGATAAGGGTTTGCTTTTAGTTTTCCATAGCAAAATTTCCATTAATTTAACCAAAAACACTTGGATATCACTTATGTCCTACCAAGTTATTTTGACTTTAACRACCAGCCCCACGTGGGCTAGAGAGCGTTTTCACATGACGTCACAGTGGCCATTATGCCGTACCAAAACAATACATTGTCTATCCTCCAGGAATTGAACTTTATTTTTATGCAAATACTGTGCAGAAAGTTTCTATTGTTTATGGCTGCCTTCTCACGTGAGTGAAAACGCTCTATTGGCTTTTCAACAATGAAGGCAAGAGGTCTAATTGTTTTAGTATTTTGAATACACTCAACAAAATTACTCTATTTTGATTGGAAAAAGAGTATTGTAGAGTCCCAATTAAGTTRCTCAATTTCGTTTAATGTATTATTGACCAACAATCGAACGATCTTCTCGTACAATTCGGAATTTATAGATACGTGATACTCACCTAAAGTCTCATCCAAATTTTGAAACTTTCAAATCATCACTCATACCTATGAATTCCAAATTGTACTCAAGATCATGCGATTTCCATACACTGACCTACTGATCAGCCAAATAAATGGATACAAAATATTATGAAATTATTTTGAAATAGTATTATGTATTTTTTTGTTTTGTTTTCAAAATCAATCACTTTTGCTACTAGTGGTCTGTCACTAATAGACTACCAGTAGCTCAGCCAATCAGAGTGCAGGATTTGTGATACACGATTAGGTTTTGACATAACTCCATAGCCCTTTGTTTTTCACAGGTTAAATAAAATTGATCTAATTACACTCAAAGTTCACCTAATGCCTTTGAGACAATACTTTTGATGCATACTTTTAAGTATTGATTCCAGGAACATATAGTGAGTAGTAACATATTTTAGTAAGCCTTTAAAACTAGACGCAACACTCAAATTAAGAAATATTTTACCATTTATATTAACTGTTCACTCCTTGTAGCAATACTCAAAGCATCACGTTAGACATTAGGTAATAATAAGACATTAGTTAATATGTTCAAAATTTAATAAAAAAGCAAATTTGCATATTTATTAAACAGTTTAAACAGAATTAAAACAGTGTTATTATGAAAATCCAGTGGGCCACAAAATGAAAGACTCAAGTTTCAGAATCTTGTGGATAAATGCCTAAATTGCATAAAATGTTTTCTATTTTTAGATAAAGTAGATGTATAATTTTGTTAAGGAGTACAAACACTAAAAGTGTGCAACATAAATATCACTAATTAGTGTTATTTTATGCTAATTATATATTTTTGTTTAATTAGTGCTATTTACTGCTAAAAAAATAATAGTGATAACTATTGCACACATTTAGTGTTTGTACTCTATCCATCAATTGTTACTTGAGTAAAGTGCGTTGGTTTGTAATATTTTTCGTCAAAATGGAGCATTAGAGGAAAAAGCTAAACATTTATCAATTATTGCCTTAAATTATGGATAGAATTAGAGTAATTTAATAACACTTGAAATTAGGAAAAGTTGAAGAGGTAACTTTCTCAATGACAAGTTATTGTTGACTGTTGTGAAATTTATCAGTTCTTGGTTAATGTCTGTCATCGTTCTTTTATTGGAGTTGAGAAGTTTGAATGATGGTGAGAAAATTTGAGTATCAAAGTTATTGCAGTAACCAACCATTTAGATATTTTCTGTTGCAGATCAATGCTGGCATAAATACTTAATGCTATATAACCAGAAACATTCAAAAAAATTTGAAAGTACTTATCAATAAACATGATAATCACTAAAGAATTATTACAGCATTTTTATGGAGCAGCAACAAAGGTCCTAAGAAAAACTAGTGATTTTTAATATATAATCATTGATGAAGTACAGTAAAAACCAACATTTCCCCAAGTCAGGCTGTAATGGTTCTTATATATTAGGTATCAAGTGAAAAAACAGGCAGAGTAGGATTTTAACAGTTTCTGATTTGCGAGTTGAAAAAAATAATTTGTTCCTTATGTTTGTTTTAAATTCAATTGTTTTCTTAAGTGAGCTGTTGTCCTGGACAGTAGAGTACTCACATTAAATCCATGAAACAAATACTAATTTTCAGCACTAAAGAGGGATAATTAAACAATAGAAAGCAAAGGATTCTGTATGAAATAGTACTAATTAGTACTATCTAATGTTCACGGTTTTAGTGCGTGCACTCTATTAATATTTTAAAGCCTGCATTATTAAAGACAATACATACTTCTTTGATGGCATATTGTTTGATTAACAGAAAACTACTTACATTTTACACAACCCTTTAAATAAGGAAGTTATAAAATGAAACCCAATTTCTCTTTAAGCAAACAAGTCAGAAACAAGAAATTACTAAATCTTGAAGAGGCATGTATTTTCAGTGAATTATGCCAGATAATGAAGCATATTTACCATCTCCATAAATCTGTAATGATAGATGCAATTATTATTATGTAATGTAAAAAACTAGGCTTTTTAAAACTGGCAGGATTACAACATGGTCAAGCTAGACATGCCACATCATAATGCTGAGTTATTACTTTTCACTGCATCCCACACACATATACTATACCTATGAAAGCAGAATTCATCTTCTGCTCCTATTCCATTTATGATCATACAATTTGGGAAAGCTGTTTGTCTAAATCGAATTGAACCCTTTATTATGCTCCAAATTACAGGAAAAGATTGCCGTTGTGAACTTTTATTTGGCTTTTTTCTTCAGCAAGTTGATAAAAATCATGACTAGCATACATATAGCATGAGTATGAGCATGTAAACCCATAGTGCGTCACATGCTGCTTCATTGTGAAATAATTTTGGAGCATCTAGAAGATTATTTAGGCAATGTAACCTTGAGTACACACCTTGAATAACATTTCCACAAAATTAGAAATGGATTAGACTATCAATAATTAAAGAAATTCACAATTTTATATGATAAGTCAGAAACAAGTCATTGTAAAGTAATAAACAAGCTTGCAGCTCTTAATATTGGGGGGGGGGGGGGGCGACTACTTTTTCTACAACACAGAATTTACATAGAAACAAGTTGAGCTGCAGAGTAATTTGCATTTTTTTAAGCTAAGTCACATATATATTCACTTTTCTGTCTTTACAGTGGAGACTTTGTGTTCATCATTGATTAGAAACACAGATCCAAGGCAATCCTGAATAATTGCCTCAAAATTCTTTGTAATTGTTTTTCACAATTGAAAGCTATATGAATAATTCATATAGCACTGTAAGTTGCAAAATGCAATTTTAGAAGTCTTGCTTAACTCTTTAACTACAACAAATTACATTTTCTTTTCTTGGGTTGTTCTGGTGGTTCTAGGGCAGCCAAAATCGCTTCATCAAATACGTTCTTTAAACCCTTTTGTGTCAAGGCAGAACATTCAACATACTTTACAGCCTTTAATTCTCGAGCTAGCTTATCTGCTTGTTCCACTGTAAGAGGCTTCTGTTTGTTCTTTGCCAGTTTTTCTAAGGTGCCTGCATCATCTCTAAGATCCACTTGTGTGCCAACGAGTAAGAATGGTGTTTTTGGACAATGATGTGTTATTTCTGGTACCCACTATAACAAACAAGAAAGAAAACATAATAAATGATAGCCACACATCTCTCTCCAGACATCATCTTGATTGATATCCATTGGTAAAAAGCTTGGTAAAAAAGCTACCTGAGGCTAACAGGAAAAAGTCCCCGGTAAATACAAGAGAAAGCACTTTTTTTAGTTTGGGTGCTTAACCCTTTGACTCCTGGGGAAATAGCGCGCGGACTGCCCCCTGTCCCTGGACATTTTTCAAGAATGCATAACAAAAAATAACGCGTAAAATAAACCCTATGCGCAGTAAATACAGACAAAAGATATAGCTTCCAAATAAAGTTTATTCAAAAATGAGGTGA